GGCTCCGCAAGGGCTGAAAGGAGCTCGGGTGGCCGCGGGCTCGGTCCCCGGGCCGCCCTGAGCCGGGGGCGCTGGGGTGCGCTTCAGAGCAAGGCGAAGGAGAGGATGCTCCCTTTCCCCCTCCCCCATCAACCTCCTTAAATCCGAGCTATAGGGCTTAACAAAGCACAGCATGATCCAAACGTTTGTTCAAAATATTTTAATAAAGATTCTTTCCGACATAGATACACATACAAACGATCGTACGTTGCTGTCATAATCTGATTGACCTATTTAATATATATCACTCTTTACACATCCGTGACCTGCCAACAGATCCATCATGGCTCCTATTTTGCCATCCAACCTGACAGTCCGAATTTGTATTATCTGCAAGTAGTGGAAAATAGCAGGACTCGTTTTTGAAAAAAAAAAAAATCTTGATTTACAAATGGCAGAGAGACAGCCACCCAGCCATGCAAACTTAAACCGAAGGCTCACTTTGGGTAAATAGCTACTTCTTGCTCTTCATCTCTCATTTTTCTTCCAAAAAAAAACAAAAACCCAACCGAAATCCACCCACCCCTCCCCCCACAAAAAGAAAAGAGAAGAACTCCACTCGTTCTGTAAATCAGTCTAAAGTATTTTAAAGTATTTGAACTTAAATAATCTTCCACAGTCAGAATAATTTACGTACACATTAAAAGCGGTTTAAATTATACCTTTGAAAACACAGCGCCTGGGAAAACATTAGCTTGGCAAATGTTCTTGCAGCAGCTATTGCTCTGATGCCTTTTAAAAGTAAATAGCTATTACCTGTCATAATGCAAAGAATACCCTTTCAAAAATCAGTTGGTTCAGCAATTAAGAATACACCTTTCCTGTAATTTTTGGACTGAAGCAATTTATTAAAGCTCAATTTAAATACAGGGATGATGCAACTTAAAATCCAGATGACCTTTCATAAACCTAAGCAGCTCTGATACATCAACATTTCTGGTTATACGTTGTTGGCAAATAAACGTCTTAAACACTTGGCACATAGTTTAAGTTAATCCATAAACAGAATTTTAGAAGCATTTAAAGTAACTGCACATTAGACCCATGACCTTAACACATGATAAATATTGTTGGCGTGGAAGGGTCATTTAAAAAATAACAAATAAATATCATGTCTTGTTTATACATCATTGCAAACTGGAAAGAAACAAGGTGCACATAAATATTTCTTTTAAAAATGCGATACTTTCAGCCTCACGGAGTAGGGGATTTGATCGGCTATTTTTTGTTGTTTTTTTAAACTCTCTCGATTTTTTTAAATCACTCTCACCAAAACTTTGCGCATTTTCACAGGATCAAAGTTTAGAGACGATAAAAAATACAGAGTCTTTCATAGCAATGGTCCAGTCTCTTTGTTTCTGCGAGTCGTTTAAATAATAAGTTTACGCTTCAAGTTTGTTTGTTGCCTGGCTCAGAATAATAATAATACTAATCATAATTAAAAAAAAAAAAAAAACCTATGGTCAAGTGCCCTCGCTGATTTGTCCTGTCCACCTCCGCGTCGCCG